TATGCATACTTTAACAATAAGTTTAATTTTTTTATTAAACTCTTGTATGGATGATCCCACACAATAAGATTATAAAACCCATATATTTTTTTTTAAAAAAAGGTTGTTTTATTGGACCCTTTGCACCAAAATCGAATGTGTTTATTATGCAATTTTGGCCCTAATAAACCAAAAGTGAATGTTTTTTAAGAAAAGATGTGGAAGTAGCACCATCAATAAATAATAAATAGACTCAATTCGCAATTATTTTTTTTTAGATTATGGTGGATTTTAAAATCAACATGAATGTCTTAAATGATTCAAAAACAGATATTTTTTTTTTTTTTTTTGGGGTTCCACCTTGATATCCTTGGAGCATAGGAAAAAAGAGTGACATAAATGAATTGTAAGACAGCACCAGCCCATTTACTGTTAGAAAAAGAAGACCCCGTGAAAAATTTTTTTTAAAAAAAAAAAAAAAAAAAAAAAAAAAAAAAAAAAAAAAAAGAAAAAGAAGAACACACTTTAAATGACTCTAGATCAATGTCCATCTCTTGATATCTGCCATGTTGCTCAATCCAAACAAATCCTTCTAGAATCTTTTTAGTTGTCACCTAAAATAGAAATAACTCTTGTCGGTGGGGCCAGAACCAACACTTCGACAAGTTACAAGGTTTTTAGCTCATCCCTACTCTTTCAGCCCCCATCTCCCTTTTATAAAGTCATTCTCCTTGATATTTTCTTCATGCAACTTAGCCTTTCATCATCACTCTGACAGGATCCATTTCCCTACTATACTTTCAAAAAAGGACAGTTTGATCCTACCTAATGAGACCGTGCCGACTTAATATACTCAGCTCTAACGGCAACAATAATTTTAACTCGGCGTTCTTCTCATTTTGTCTTTTATGTCTATTTGACGATGGCTTTCAATCCAGTGGGCTTTGGTTTTATTCGACCCATCTCGAATGAGGTTGAATGTACTCTGTTTGTTGTTTTAGTTATATCTATATTCGACTCCCCCATGCTAGTTTATACATGATACAATAATTGTGATAAAATGTCCTTCAGACAACTTTAAAGGCCCTAATTTTTGGCCTTACATGTCTTTTTGAGTCCATCACGTGGGTTTGCATTGTCCTTTTTTGTCTGCTGAAATTCTCACTCTTTAAGCTATGGAAGTGATGAGAAAATGTGAAAATGCTTTGAATATCTAGCTAGGTAAGAGATAATGGGATAACAATTGAGTAGTTATGGGATATTTTATGCCATATTATCAATGCAGTTTTTAATTAATAATGTAATGAAAATTGTATAGAACGACAATGTTAATTCACCTATGTTACTTAATTTTTGTGATTTTTTATTTAACGAAAACATCATGTAAATAATATGAGATGATTTTTTAAAATCATTTAATAGTTTTTAACAATTTGTGGGGGTCAACTTTCGTAGTGTGGCATATTGAGATGAGGGTGTTGGTGGGAAGACTTTGGGAGATCTCTAACTGAAGCATGATTACATTTGATGGCTCTCCTTTTCTCTTTTCACTTTTGTCCTTCCTTTTACGTTATGGATGTTGTACAATGATGGATCATTTTGTAATTTTACCTATTATTTCTAATCTTACCGTCGGTAGTGAGAGATATTTCCTTTGTCTTTTGAATCATTTTGCAATTTTGCTTGTCACCTTTAATATTACGTCGGTAGTGGGAGATATTTGGAACTTCTATTTCAACATATCATTTTTACTTTGTGTACATTCTTTTTAATTCATACACTTAAAAAATAATAAATATACAATATATGCTCACTTTATGCATTTTTATTTCAAATATATCCTAACAAATAAAAAGTGAACACACTACAACATTTTCTTAGTTTAGTGACATTTAAAAGTGTCACAAAACTATTAATTTAATGACATTTTTTAGTCTTGTGGCATTTTGAACAAGTGCCATTTGTATCTGTACCACGGTAGAGGTAGATACTTGCAAGTGCCACTACACCATCATGGCTAAAAATTTTCAATGACATTTTGATGTCATGGTAGATATTATTTGTGGCACTATCAAGCGTTATTAAAAAAAGAGTTAGTGACATTTATAAGTGTCATTACACCATCAAGATATAAAATGCTATAAAATATTTGTTTATGACACTTTTCACCTAAGTGTCATAAAAAGTAATTTGCACTTACCTAGTATCCTGACTTTTTTTAAAAAATGCCATTGCTACTAAAATTTAGTGGCATCTGTTGGGAAATGTCACGAACATAATTTTTTGTCATTATTTTATAAAATGCCATAAAATTGATGTGACATTTCTTTATTGAAATGCCACTAGAGCCTTATATGTTTGTGGTTCTGTGGCATTTTTCTAAAACATTTAATGCCAATTTTTATTTTTGTGGCATTTTCTAAAAACACGCCACTAGTGTAGTGTCACTAAAGTGTAAATTTGTTGTAGTGACATTTTCGTTGAAGTGAAGTGACACTTTTTTAATTGAAATGCCATTAGAGCCTTGTATGTTTGTGGCTTTATGACATTTTTCTAAAAAATGCCACCGAATATTCTTTTTGTGACATTTTTTAAGAACATGCCGCTAGTATGATGTCACTAAAATATATTTTTGTTGTAGTGACACACTATTTAAAACACACTCAAATCTATATACACACACCTAAACTTAAATATCTATTGAAGAAAGTTGAACTACCATTTTTAAATGAAGAAAATGATAGTTCAATTTAATACACAAGAAGTACTACGGAGTCAAAAATAAAAAAAATAAAATTACCATACCTAACTATATTGGCCATGACGATGATATTTTACTTCGCTCAGTTGTGGGGATCAATCTGTGATGGTGAAGAACCTTTTACCAAATTTTTTTATTTAATTTCTCCCATACCTAAAAAATAAATAAATAAATAAATAGAAATGATCAAATCTATGTACATAAATCCAAACTCAAACCACCATTGAAGAAAATTGAATTACCATTTTCAACACATTCACTACAGGAAATTACACTTTTGGTGATTAAAAATTTAGTCGACAAAAGTCCATTTTTATTTGGGAAAAGTTATCCGTGACTAATTTTTTTGTCGTCACTTCGGTTGCCAATAGAGGGTCGGGAAAAGTAATTAGCGACTAAAAATTTTTTTAGTTGGGAAAAAGTTCTATTTGCCGACTAAATTTTTGGTCGCTAAATATATAATTACTGCGACTAATCCATTAGTAGCTAAAACACTTTAGTCGTGAAAAGTCATATTTTCCCGACCAAACATGTTAGTCGCCAATTATCATATTCTACGACCAAACATATTAGTGGCTAATTGTCACATTCCAAGACCAAACATGTTAGTCCCCAATTGTCACATTCCACAACCAAACCTGTTAGTCCCCAATCGCTACATTCCATGACCAAACATGTTAGTCACCAAAAGGAATGTTTCCGCAACTAAAATTTTAGTCAGCTATAGACCTATTAGCGACCAAATCATTTGGTTGCCAAAATTAATAATTTTAAGGACTAATTATTTAGTCGCCAATGTACCCTCTCGCCTACCTTATTTAGTTGGAAAAAGTATTACTTATCTTTTTCGACTAATTACTTGGTCGCCAAAACAAGAAAAATAAAACCAAAATTTGGTCGCCAACATCCAACAAAATAAACTTGTAATTCATAATAATCCATTCAATCCATTCAATATAATCTGTAATTTGCAAGAATCATTCAAACCAACAAATTAACTGAATCATGAACAATCAACAAAATATATAAATCATCTAATCCTGAACCTGTTTAATGAAAGTTAGCAACCATTATAAATTTTCATCCACAAGCAATTCCAAACTACACATTCCTCCAATTAAAAATTCTCTTGTAATCTATATAACCATCCAATTAAAATCCATCTAGCATAAAAATTTAAAACATAACAAGTACTTGTTATTATGTTTTAAATTTTTATCCATGCGTATTTACCAAAAAATATAGCTAGTAGTCTACCCAAATATTTTCCCATGCACACCCATCCAAAAATATAACTACTAGTCTATCCAAAAATATAACTATTAGTCTACCCAAATATTTTCTATACACATCTATCAAAAAATATATAATCCTTCCAAAAATTCTTATAGTGCCAATTAGTCCTATACAATTTAGCTTTGTACACGAGTTCATCCATCTGTACCAAAGAAAAAAAGAAATAATGTTAGGTAATTTTTTTATGAAAATATTTGCACGTCACATTATTGTAAAATTGGACAAAAAACGAGAAATGTCCATGGAAAGTAAAGGTAACATAAACAAATTAAATGACTATCAATACCATTTTGTAAATAAAATAACAGCATTCATATGTATATATCTAATAAACATTACAATTCTAACTATTAGTCCACAATTTGCCAATATTGACCTGTGCTTCAACAATGGAAACTAAGTTAAAATTTGGAGCTATCTATTTTCACAATTTAGTTGTAGTTTTATATCCTTTATACTGCTATATTTTGGTCCAAAGATGTTTTTTTCGGTTTTTTTTTTCTTCTTTTTCTTTTTCTTTCTTTCTTGTTTACACATTGCAGCACTTTTTGCATTCATTGAGATTTATTGAAGAATCAGTAGAAAATAGCACTATGATGTGCCATGAGAACACTCATTAATTGACTCTCCTACAGTTAACTCAGATGCAAAGATGACAAGTAAAGTATGCTTTGGCCCTAAAAATGTATACTTGAGTGTGGCCAGGAGTGGCTTCAACTCAGGTGTAGGTGGTGTGACTAAGGATAGTATAGCGAGCTCTCGAGACAGAGGAGGAAGGGACTCAAACCGGGCTTTCCACCTAGGAAAATTTGGTGTAGAAGAAGAATTAAGTAAGGCATTCACCTCCTCCACTGACCCGTCAATATCAAAATTTTCAAACCCAAAATGAGCTAGACAAGTCTCTAAAGGGTCCTCGACAGAGAATGGTAGGTAAAGCCTCCTCCACAATCCCACCTACAACATCCACAAATAAACACTTCTCTCTCTCATGGGGTTGTTGGGATGTTGGGATGTTGGGAAAACATTGAGTTTCACTTGCATATTCCCAAATAAAACTTCCATAACCCGGTACGACAATTTATGCATGCATTGGCCATAGCCAAGAAAGGTCGGCCTAAGATCACCAGGATTTGTTTTCTAGAGTTGGCTACCCCTTCCACATCTAAAACAAAAAATTCAACAGGAAAATAAACCCTATCGACCTTTACTAGCACATCCTCAATCATGCCACGTGGCACTTTGAGGGACCGGTCATCCAACTGGAGAGTTACAGTAGTGGGCTTCAACTTAACAAGCCCGAATTCTTTGTACACAGAGTACGACAACAAATTGACACTAGCCCCTAAATCTAACAAGGTTCTATCAATGA